CTGGGTGACAAGCACACCGCGGCCAAGTATCGTGCACAGCTTGAGGAGTTGCGACGCGGGCCAGAACTCACGGTACAGGAGAGGGCTCAGCGGACACATGGCAGAGTGCAGCAGCTCGAGGAGATGCTGGCAACGGAGGTCGACAAGCTCGAGATGTACCAAGGGTGGGTCAGCGTGCAGTCCAAGTGCGTGCGTGTACTGGAGCAGTCCTTGCAGGAGGCTGACGCGGAGTATGCGAAGATCGTGTCCGAGTTGGCGACCACCGTGGCAAAGGAGAAGGATCCAGGCCATCCTGCAGCTGGGAAGCTCGTGGAGGCCAAAATCTCCTTGGCGGACGTCGTCGACGGCACCCAGGACGTGGTCAGCCTCATCGACTTCGACAGCTTCTTCAAGGTCGGCGACGAGTTCGAGGTGTCGGCTGAAGACGCACGTGAGATCGAGCTGCGGAAGGAGCAGCTCAGGCAGCAGATGCAGTCAGTCACGCGTGGCCTGTTCAAGTCAGCAATGGACAAGGTGGACAGCATCAAGTCGGAGCATGCAGCGCACCTTACGCGGCTGGCGCGCAAGCGTGCCCGACGAGAAGACGAGCCTACGGCAGTGGCAGCTGATGATAAGGCAAAAGATGACACGAGTACTGGAGTGGATCGTGGAGAGCAGCCAGGCCAGCACATCCCAGATGCGAATTACCACAACGCCTTCCTGCCGTCGCAAGGGGAGGCGTCAGCAGCTCCTGCGCAAGGGGCGTCAGCTGCCGCGGCAGCAGATGGTGGCGGCCCTGCGAGACCATCGCAGGGGGCGGCGCCTGCAGCGAAGCCAGAGGCCAAGCCGAAGGTCTCCTTCGCGGCCCCTTCCAACGTCCGCACTCGAACGCAACGTGCGCTGGGGGAAGCGGGCGGCCGAGATGCTGGTGGCAAGGCAGATGGCGGCAAGTGTGGCGATTGACTTCCCCCCCGTCGGTCGCGACGGTGTCCGACGACCTGGGCTCCGAGGATGCCGACAGGGGGGGCGCCTACCTGTGCGACATAGACGGCTGCCTGTACCAGTGCGGCTACTGGAAGGAGGCGGAGCTCGAGCGGGACATCGCCGAGGCGGCGGCGCTGGGCGCCCCTTCACTCACCCCCGCAGGCTGCCCCCCGTGGGCAGAGCCTCCCTTGCTAGTCTCACGTCAGAGCCTGGCGTGTGAAGACGGCGCAGAGGAGGCTTGGATGCACTCACCCTCGGGGATCGGCTTGGGGGCAGAGATGGGGAACGACGGCGACGATTTCGGTAGGTGTACTGAGCCTTCCCCTGCGGCATCCGTTGCAGCTTGTCCTGGTTTTGAAACCTCTGGCCCTGGGTCTCGGGGCGGGGTCCCGCAGGACGGACCCCTCGTCGCCAGATGCAGGGAACGGCTCCTAACACGATTTTATGTGCCTCAGCTGGTGGAGCCAGTTGAGCCTTCGGTCTCGGGCAGCAGCGAGCTTGAGGCCGAGGGAGAAGTAGTCGCAGTTGCCAGCTTGAGTCGGCCTGTCCTCTCTGCAATTGTACAGCCTGATGCCCCCTTGGAACCTCACGAGTGGACGGTGGCGAACAAGAGCAAGAGGCTCCGACTTAAGACCTGTAACTGCACCTCGCTCGCGTCCCTGAAGCGATATCTGGAAGCTGAGACCAGTGCGTCGCTCATCTGCGTCCAAGAGCTCATGCCTAAGGCCACCGACAGGGCCGAGACCGAGGCCTCGCTCAAGAAGATTGGGTGGTTGGCTTGCCTGCACCCGTCCATCGCGACGGACGCTGGAGGACTGTCGTGTGGGGTTGGAATTGTAGTTCGAAACAACATCGGGGTTGGGGACATTCCCAAAAGCCGTGCCCTCCCCGCCCCCCACAGGTGCGCCCTTGTTTGGGTGAATGCCTTTGTGCCAGGGGGTTTATCCTCGGCAGCGTGTACCTTCCTCAAGGGCCTCCCCTCGGTGAAGATGGGTGTCACCTTCTGGCCAGATTGGGGGAGATGCTGTATGGGCGTGGGCTTCCCTTCATCATCGGAGGGGATTGGAATTGCGAGCCCTCGGTCCTTCGAGAGTCGGGTTGGGTCGAGCGTCTCGGGGGGCAGATTGTGGCGCCAACGGTTTCCACTTGTCGCTCCGTCGCCAAGCGGTGGAAGACCATTGACTTTTACGTGTGCTCGGCTGCGTTGGCGCCGGCCCTTTCTGACATTGGCAGGAACG